GGCTGGTAAAAAGAATTGTTAGGTATTTTCTGGATCTACTTTCTAATTTTCCAAAATGAACGCTTTAAAACCACAGTAACTTTCAGAACGACCCAATACTCTAATAATTTAAATACAACGCGAAATTCTCTTCGTTCCAGAGTCTAACGTGGTTGGATCTCTCATACAATCGCCTGGTCAGGCTCGATGACGGAGTGTTCTCCGACATGCCTTATTTAACTCATCTCGATCTGAGTCACAATAAACAACTACTCTTAGAATCACGTGGAAGAACGTTCCAGGGTTTGGAAGACTCGCTTCTGTATCTCGATTTAAGCAACATCTCGCTCTTAAGTGTACGTAAACAACTAATAAATCACTAAGTAATAAACGTTCGCTGAAAGGAACATTATATTCGTGATATGTACATGGTCGACAGGTGCCAGAATTACCACTACGGCGATTGCAAACATTGTATTTGGCAAACAATGAGTTGGCATCCATACCAGCGGAAATGGCATCGAACTTGACGTCTCTTCATTATTTGGACCTAAGCGCCAATGATCTGACTGTGGTGCCATTGATCACGCACACCCTGCCCGAGTTGAAAACGTTTAATCTGGCGGATAATCCTATCACAGCCGTCAGTAATACTAGCTTTTTAGGGATAGCGGATAGCCTCGAGGAATTGGACATAAGACGTTTGTCTTTGTCTACTTTCGAAGTGAGCTTCTATTGCGAAGATAAGCGAAGATTTTCGAGTAATTCTTTGGGAATCTTGCAGGCTGGGAGTGTTATATTTTTGGATGAAAAAAATAGTAATTTGTTTTCAATAATGATACAGTATTCTATGGAATTATGGAATTTTAAGGAATTCACAATTCTAAGAAATTCATAATTCTAAGGGATGCAAATTCTAAAGGATTTTTAATTCTAAGGGATTCATAATTCTAGAAGATGCAAATTCTAAAGATTCTATGGAATTATGGAATTTTAAGGAATTCACAATTCTAAGAAATTCATAATTCTAAGGGATTCATAATTCTAAGGGATGCAAATTCTAAAGGATTTTTAATTCTAAGGGATTCATAATTCTAGAAGATGCAAATTCTAAAAGATTTTTAATTCTAAGGGATTCATAATTCTAGAGGATGCAAATTCTAAAGGATTTTTAATTCTAAGGAATTCTTAATTTTAAATCTAAGATATTCATCATTCTAAGGAATTCATAATTCTAAGGGATGCAAATGCTAAAGGATTTTTAATTGTAAGGGATTCATAATTCTAGAGGATGCAAATGCTAAAAGATTTTTAATTCTAAGGGATTCATAATTCTAGAGGATGCAAATTCTAAAGGATTTTTAATTCTAAGGAATTCTTAATTTTAAATCTAAGATATTCATCATTCTAAGGGATTCACAACTCTAAGGGATTACCTTATAAAATGTGAATTTGAACGGTGACACAAACGTTTGTTCGTTTCCAGAGCGGAGCGCTGTGCAAAGCCACGAAACTTCGCAAGTTATATATAACCGCTTACAACGGCGTGAAGAATTTCAACTTCCCTAATATTCTGCAGTACAACCATGGTTTACGGCATTTAGTCATCGACGTACGTATCAAATATTACGATAATAAATAACAAACTTTGTTGTATTGAATAGTATTGCATAGAATGGAGCATTTTGATTATAGGTACAAAATGACACCGATCTGGAGAAGGAAATGAGGGGACACTTTCCTAATAAATTATTCAACATTACGTTGACTGGTCGAGCTTTGAAGACTATAAACCCGGATATACTGCGAGTACGTAATTGTCTGATCGAAGAGCAATTTTAATAATCAATTTTTTTAGTTTCTTCTTTGCAGTAAAATGAAATTTATCGTATCGCTGTATCGTTTTTTATATCGAAAGATGCAATTTCGAAAATCTCCATTATCTTTTCATTCGAATCAATTTTGAATACCACAATTTTCACAGCAACTTTATATCCGGCGGTGCAATTTATTTTTCAATTCGAATCAGTTTTAAATACAATAGTCTTCATAGCACTTTTGTATCGAAAGACGGAATTTCGAAAGTTACCATTGATTTTTCCATTCGAATGAATTTTAAATACCACCGTGGTGACAAACGAAATGGTCATATCTATTTCAGGGTATAAGGAATCCGCACTTGCATTTCGGAATGTACAACACAAGCGTGAGCTCTGTACCTAAGAAGATGTTCGAGAATGCGGAATGGGCGAGAAACGTGACAGTCCATCTTCGTCACAACGATGTGCGGACTCTTCATAATCCGTCTAACGGATACAAGCCAGGCGTGCCAGGGAAACGATTTCTGTTGAAACTCACGGTAGCGGGAAGCTACTTTACTTGCGACTGCGACATCGGGTGAGTCACTAATTCTGTTTTTACTTTACATCTCACGTTCAAACCTATACATTTTTCCATATTTCAGAAAGGACACTTACAGACGCATACAATTCGCTTACTCTTCTCTACTCACAATTAACCAAATTCATTTTCATCAATCAGATATCCTTTTCTCTCTAAAACGACATTGATCGCTGTAGGAGACGAGAAAATTAGAATATTCCTTCACAATTTCTATTCAAAAAATTTTCTAATTTTCTAAATTTCATCGTTTTGCTAACCCTTTGCGTACCGAAAGGCTCATATATAAGTGAAATTTTGACTGAAAAAGAAAAGAAAAACCGAAAATTAAAATAGCGACACTTATCACTAGACTGCGGAATTTTATGTGAATTTATATTTTTGGGAACACAGTAAAAAAAAATAGAATAATGTAACAACCATCAACGAAGGCGGCGACAAAAATTTCCTTTCCGCGAGGGGAAGCGAGAGGGACGACTCTCTCTATCCTTGTCGACAATCAAATAATCGCGAAGCGATAGAAACTCGCGGTTTCGCGCGGGAAGCCATTTAGCGACGCGACTTGTTGATAAGCCGCGCTTCATTAGCAATGGTCAAATATAAATATCACGGCCGCGGCATTCTTGCTGATTTTTCCTAGCGCAAACCACATTGGCCACTGCTACACCACACGTCACGGACGGTAACAACATTACCACAACTCAGCCCATCCGATAAGGAGACAATAGTCTCCAGGCGCGGATCTGGAGGACTCATCCCAACATAAAAAAAAAAAGCGGCCGGGCATTCTTCCTGTACTCTGCTGGGAGAGAACGAGATACCAAAGAAAATCCTTTCTTTCCTCAATAATATATTAACGCATGAAAATCCGCAATCTACTTATCACTATAGCGTGAGACTCAGTTATCTACTGAATATTTAATCAATATCTCAAACGACATGCAGAACACGAGAAAAGGAGCTTATTACTTGAATTGACCATCAAAGCGCTCCTCCTCGTATCTCTTCGTCCGCAAAGGGTTAATTTAAATATCCACAATTTGTTGAACACAATTTTTTTCAGATGGATGGAGACCTGGCAAAGGAAGCACAGACAGTACCAAGAAGACCGTTGCAGCACTTACAGCGACTTCAAGAACTTCGAAAGGGACGAAGAAGACGACGAGTTCGATTGTTGGGACAACGCCTGGGACGACGATCTTCGTGAAGCTTATTGCATGAACAAGAACAACATATCGGTGATAGAAATGTTGAAAACGGATCTCGAATGCGGTTGGGGCGCGGCGAGTTACATCTACGCGCCTCATCGTCTCGTTCTCTTCTTCGTCGCTGTCCTCGTAACGGCGATCTATTAGGTTCTCACTTTTCCTATACTTTTACATTTCATTCAATCGATCACCATTCCTTTCCTCTAGATGCACGGCCGTTTAAAGTGCGAAACTACGATAACGTCGTTCTCCGAGAACAGAACCGACGATTTTTTCTCTCGTGAATGTGACTACGTTTATTTCGTAATTAGAGAATTATGTAAGTTATGTGTAATAATCGTAATTTATTTATATTTATGGAGCGTCGTTGGAAGGAAGAGAAAGATTGTACGCGATTTCTTATGCCGCGTTCGTACTTGCCGGAATTGTTTCTGAACAGCTCGCGAGTAAAGCTCGCGAATAGTTCCTTTGATATATCGAAAGATGTTCGCTTTTTACCGATCGTGCAATTATCCACGCTGCTGGCGAACAGAGTTCGCGATCTGTTCACGAACACAAGTGTGGATCAGGCATTAGAGACGTCCAATTTTCGTCTGAACGTCTTACGACCTGATTTGGACGTCTTTAAGACGTTTTAGGACGTTTTAAAGACGTTTCTGAGACATTTCAAAGACGTTTTTAAGAGGTTTCTGAAGCCAGTGGATAGTAATTTGCAGTGCTTCCTTTCGGAAACATCTTAATTAGTAACACTGAACGTCGTTCAGACGCCTTTTGGACATCTCTAGGAGTTCACAAGACGTCTGTGTACTATCTTGGTATTGTTATTTGTAGCAACGGTAGCGTACTTATTTACCGGTAAGAGTAATCGTAATAGAGATTAAGTGTCTTGTGTCGATGTCGTGTTTATCCATTATCATTGTCGATGATAATTATTTATTGATAGTATACGTGTGATACGATTGTCGAATCTGAACGTGATCACATTCACGATCGTTGCTTGCACTCTTTCTAATTAGTCGTCTATTCGATAATCTTTAAGGAGATACCGCGATTGTTTTCTCTTCTTTTTCCCTTTTTTCTGTAAAATAGTAAAATAGCGTCTGATCGAGTTAGCACTTTATCTTTAAATCGTGTGCATCAGAGGGAGATAAACACTTTGCACATCCCTTTCGTTTTTTTGCGTAAAGCAGCACGCTTCGAATCAATGAGACTGTCGAATCAATTGTTACTCGTACAAAGTGACTAATCACGGATCGAACGTGTATAGTCGATTGAAGAAATACAGCGAGGTTGTAATTAAATGTATGCCTTAGATTTGATTCAGTTTTCAGTCGAAAAAACGAGAAATGTCGCGTTTCGAATTACCAATTTTGGATATCTTGAATATTCTACAGTTTCAGTTTTGGACATTTCGAATATTCTTCATTTCCAATTCTGGATATTTTGAATATTCTGCATTTCCAGTTTTGGACACTTTGAGTATTCTGCATTCCCAATTTTGGACATTTCGAATATTCTACACTTCCGAATATTCTGCACTTTCAATTTTGGACATTCCAAATATTCTACATTTCCAATTTTCTACACTTCCGAATTTGGAAATTTCGAATATTTCGTATTTCCAATTTTGGACACCGAGTATTCTGCATTTCCAATTTTGGTCATTTCAGATATTCTACATTTCCAATTTTGGACATTTCGAATATTCTACACTTCCGATTTTGGAAATTTCAAATGTTTTGTATTTCCAATTTTGGACACTTTGAATATTCTACATTTCCGACTTTTCCGACTATTCTTTAACTTTCGCTCAAACTTAATCAAAAAATGAAACCTTGTGAAAAATGTTACTTGATGCTTTAACTTACCATCTCGCTATATTTCTTCCGCCAGCTATACCAGAAAAGACATTCGATATGTTTCTTTCTCCCGTTCTGCTGTGTCGCGTCCGTAACACGTGTCCGTCGAAACTCGTCAGGATAAACAGGAATTGAAGTTTCATTCTTCATTCGTAGCGATTTAGCTATTATTCTTGCGATCGTTGTACAAACGCAGTTGCAGGATCTTCTTCTCATTTTCTTCAGGCTCCATCATTGTCAAACTAAGAACTTGTAAATAATTCAAAAAAGTAATCACAACCTTTTTATTCCTCTTCGTGCGAAGGAACTGAATTTCACAAGATGAAATTTTCTCTTTCATTTATAGAAAATGATTTATATTGTTAATCGAAATTTAATTGAAAAAAAAAAAAAAAAAATTTTGTTTTCGAATTTGAAAACGTACATAATTATACATGTTGGTCTTTTCGTTTCTTCTGTGAAGAAAAATGTACGTTCTATGCTTTTTGGAGAGATCTTAGTTCGACACAGTGGAAAAATATTTCAGCTTTTTTGCATGATGAACTGGATGAAAAGTCAGTTCGAAAAAAGAATTTAGGGAATCGTCAAACGTATGGTTAAACAAGTGACTTTAAGGTAGTTTTTAAACGTCATATTCTCGAGCGATACAATTAACCTGTAACTAATTCGATAGCAAGAAAGATTTTATATTATCTGTTACCGAAACAGCAAAAGAAAAAAAGAAAAGAAAGTTATTTGCTTTCAAGTATGTGCTGTCGACGCGACATTTTTTAATAAAATCGCACCAAATATTACGATAATCGTCTTTCCTCATTGTACACTCAAATTTACCACCCTATACAAATTCCAGGAAAATTTCTCAATTAAAAAAAAAGAAAAAAAACATCTCTTTTT